AGCCCTTCTTCTTGTTGCCGGCGCGATCCTTGCGCGGCTTTGCGGGCGGCGCGGCGGCGGAGGAGGGGGCGGGCATGTTCTTGAAGGGCTTGAGGTAGAGCTTGAGTGGGTGCAGCGACTTGAGCGACACCTCGCTCTTGTCGCTCGACGCGTGCAGCACCCCCTCGCTGTGCGCGATCGCCTTTTGGACCGCGCCGGCGTCGTCGAGCTGCGCCTGCGCGCGGCCGTGGCAGAGCGATCCCCAGTGGTTGCGGATCCACTGAACGATCTCCGCGACCGGCACCCACTTGCGCGTTTCGGGCAGTTTGCTCGTGCATTCCACCACCTCCGCGTTCTTCGCCTCGAGCGGCAGCTGCAGGTTCTGCACCGCCGTAACGACGATCCATGACCACGGGTTGGTGAGCGGCTCGAATTGCTCGCGCCCGCCGGCACAGATGCGGCAGGCGAAGCGGTAGTTGCGCTGGAAGGGCACGAAGACGTCTGCGTCGGTCAGGCACGACACCTCTCGCGCGTGGAACCACTGCAGGCACGTCTCGCACTGCAGCATCGCGTCGCCGAGCTTCCGACCCTTACCCGCGTAGCCGTATTTGTTTTGCGTGTTGAAGTGGTGCGCAGAGTCCCAAGAGAGCTTGTCCAGGCTGTACGGCAGCTTTGCGTCGCTGGAAGAGCCAGTCATCTCTCGCGCAAGTCGGAGCGTCGAGCGCGCGCTCTACCTGCTCGCGGTCTCTGCGTGCGAACTTTCTTTCTTCCGTCTTGTGCCAGTGCTCGCCAGCCCCGTGCCCCGTGTCCTGCGAGGGAGTTTTCTTCTAAAATTATTTCTTCTGTCCAAACTAACAGAACAGTGTTTCGACACCGAGATCGTTCATTCAAAGGAACGAATAAATAGACAAATTCGCTTTTTTGGCCCCACACCCATACACAAACAAACAAGGTTATGGCAGCGGCCATAACAGGTGTGAAAATGGCTGTCGTGACTTGAGCCGTGTGCCGCGCCTCCGACATGCGGGCCCACTTCCAGTTTCCCGACCCTCGCGTTGATAGATAGCAAGATAGGACGTCCGTTTCCATCTCGTTCGTTGTTCCTATGGATCGTATAATATTTTGCTATTAGCCCCAATAACTCACAGAAAATTCTCAGGCGCCTGCAGAGCCGAGAGCCACGCACCACGCAGCAGCCCTGATCTGGTACGCGATTATGAAAGCCAAGAGCTGTCCCGCAAGGAGAACCGCGCCGAAGTGACCGCCCTCCCCTATGGCGTCAACGCGCCCGCCGGCTTCCTCATGGTCTACAACGTCGAAGATGAGCCGGGCAACGAGGAGGAGAGGAGAGGCCTCTTCACGTCGAGTTGCGCCGCGCTCGCCGCGCTCGCAGAAAAAATGGGCAATCGACGCGACGCTGAGGGGCAGACTGGACATGACGAGGTATGATATCCGCTATGCGGAACGGGAACGGCGCGCACGTTCATGGTCCGCCCCCGTGCGCCGTCCCGTGGCGCGCCGCGCGCCGGCGCGCTTTGTGCGTGGCTGTGCACAGAGTGACCGCAGTGCGGAATCGCGAGAGAGTGGTCGAAGTCTCCGCTGAGATTGCAAGAAAGGTTTAGCGACTAGTAGGGCACGACTGCCTGTAACTAAGAGCCAAGACAGTATAGACGGACTTAGACGCGTGTCACGATGTGACCGCTGCCCTCTGTGATCTGGCAAGGTGGAGTGCTGCGCCAGTGGCAGTGCCCGCTCGCGGGCGGGATCGACGACAATAGCGCTCCGCTGCGGAGGGGCAGACTCGAGCACTAGGGACGCGGGCTAGATCGCGCGCGGCACGCGTGCGTCCCCTCAGCCAATCAGGAGCTTCTCCTCCTCGATGAAGGAGTAGGGAGGCACCTCCATGTTGAGCGGCGCCGGCCCCTTGCGGATCCGACCAGAGGTGTCGTAGTGCGAGCCGTGGCACGGGCAGAACCACCCGTTGTAGTCGCCCGCCTTGTTGATCGGGACGCAGCCGAGGTGCGTGCACACGCCAAGCACAATCAGGGTCTCTGGCTTTTGCACGCGGTCGAGGTCATTCTCCGGGTCGCGCAGTTCGGCGAGGTTCACGTCCGCGGCCTCGGCGATCTCATCCTCGGTGCGCGACCGAATGAAGACTGGCTTGCCCCGCCACTTCACCGTGATGCACTCGCCCATACTCAGCTTGGAGATGTCAACCTCCAGCGACGCCATCGCAAGCACGTCTGCCGCCGGGTTCATCTGGGCGAGGAACTTGATCAGGCAGAGGCGCCAGGCTGAGGCAGAGATGAACTTGGCGCCGCCTACGGCGGCGGGTCGGTCGAGCTGCCGGCTGAGGAAGCGAGGGGGGAGCGGCACGCGGCTGCGCCGCAGACGCCGCGCTGCGTGTGGCGCGCTGCAACGGCGGGCGCGAGCTGGGCGCGGCGCACCGATCATCGCATAGTTGAACGTGCGGTTCGCCGGGTCGGCGTGGCGCACGCGCGCCTGATGCGCGGTGAGGCTCTCGCCGTCGACAAACTTGCTCGGGTCGACCGTGGTGACGTAGCCGCCGCCCGGCGTTGTGCTGCGCGTCACCTCCGACTGTTGCGCCGGCGCAGAGACGCGCAGACTGCGCAGCGCGCCAAGCGGCGACGCGCCGAAGCGCGGAGCTGCTTGTCTCAGCGCTTGCCTCAGCATGGCGGCCTCTGTGCAAAAGAAGATGAGCGGCGGGTTTCTGAGCTCCCCGGCCCTGGATGTGAGGCTGCCAACTGCACTCCAAGTGCTCCAAGTTGCGCCCCCAACTGAGGAGATAGATAGCCGCCAGTGTCGGTGTGAATGCACCCGACCGACGCCGCGCGCAGGAGCGGGCGACCAGAATCGGCGACGCGGAGGCCCGCCTCGCCTTTGCCCAGCAGGGGCACCAACAGACGGTGGCGGCCGCGTCCGACTCCGCGAGCGCCATCCAGGCTGCAGCGGCGGCTGTCGAGAAGGCCAAGCAGGATCTCGACACCGCCCTCGAGCCGCAAAACTTTGTCGTCAACAACATCTTCGCCCCGAGCGGCTCCGAGAAGACCTCGATGTGCGTGCGCTCGTGGATGGATCCGGTGGCCGGTGCTAACGACGTCCCTCTTCTCGGACGACATCTGGCAGATGTACGACTGCGTCGACCGCTCGCAGATGTTCAAGGCGCTGCGCAGCGAGGAGCTCTTCCAGCCGTGCGTGCCCGTCTGAGCATTGCGGGCGCCCTGACGCAAAAGAAATCTTAAGGGGGTCAATCCGTCCCCGGTCACCGCTACCCGACACTCGAAGACCGAGCCGAGAGTTGGGGCTGCGGCTACGGCTGCGGCTGCAAAAGAGGGGCTGTGGTCGCGGGAGAGCCGCTGCGCAGGAGCGTGGACGCGCGCCGCTCTTGCTCCGCTCGCCACCTCTCGCAAAGGTCCAAAGTCATAGCCATCACCTTCTCCGGCAAGCCTTCTCCGGCAAGTCCTTTTGCCGTATCTTGATTGCCTCTCTCCACGCCTAAAAAAGCTCGTCCCTATAGCCGCATTGCATCACAGCCTCCTGCACTGCGTCCGTGTAGAACCCCTGCCACCCTATGCCGTGCCTCTCAGCGTCGGAAAAGTCGGGCTCGGAGTCATACTGATACTCGGAAGCAGGCGCAGCCAGACGGCCGCGGGGATTTGGCAGGGTGGCGGCGAGGGGTGGGGGAGGGAGCAGACGGTGCGATCTTGAGCGCACCATCGTCTGGGTCAGGATCCTGAGCGCCCCTCTAGGATCCTCACAACCCCTTTTCTGCTTGGGAGAGGGGGGTGGGGGGGTGGGGGTCCACCTCCCTTGGGTGCGGGCTTGCGGTGGTCACCTCGTGCTTCCGCATCCGCTTGGAGGCTTGCCGCCATTTTCGGCGGGTTGCGGGGGTGCGGGCCGGGGGCGGGGCCCGGCGGCGGCGGCGGTGCTTTTCGTCTTAGGGCGGACGACCGGACGTTTGCATCGCCATCCGATACGTAGTGGCATCAGCGCTACGTATCACTGCCAGACTATGTAGCGCTAGTGCTACATATCACCAGTTTGACCGATATGTAGCGCGGGCGATATGTAGCGGTCCAACAGCGATATGTATCGCTGGAGGCGATATGTAGCGCCCGGAGCTGATTAATATCGCGCGTGGTGCATATCAGCCAAAAAAGGAATCTGAGAGAAACTCGATGAAAATTCAGTGAATCTTGCGCAGATTTGCCGTTATGATTTGTCATGCTCTTCTTGGTCATTACCCTGTGCGGATTCAAAATTTGAATAGTCCTCGTCTGGACCGAGATTAATTGAGATTGGGGGAGATTGCACGAGATTGGCGCGAGATTCTGATCTCGATGAGAAAATGGCAGATTTTAGCTGTCAAAAAGTGAAGTCAGCACACGATTTTACCCCGGGGAGGTCACACTTGGGAGTGGTGAGGTTGTAGGGGCGAGGCGGACCGGAGGCGGGCGATATGTGCTTTGTTGGTGGGAAGTAATTCAAACCGTGGCGTTGACCGATTAATCCCGAGCGCTAGATACCACCTCCTATGCGCTAGACCGATATGTACATAACACCGGACCGGTCCGGACCGATACATAACACCGGACGATATGTAGCGGGGGTCGCGCTACATACCGCGACCGCTACATACCGCGTTCAGGCGCGACATTCGAGATCGACATGTACGGCTTTATCGGAGGCCGGAGCGCGGAGGGGCCACTTTTTCCTGACGATCGGTCTGCGTTTCGCAAAATTCTTTAGCGTTGCTCTTTTCCGTACGCCTGTGAGCTTCGGTTTCTTTTCTAATAAGCAGCTTTTTGCAGCACCCGCCGTTTATCGCTCTGGACTCATGCGGGGGGAGAAATCGCTATGGGAACCCCCGTGTATGTTGCGGGGGTTGCGGGCGGACAGAAACGCATCACATCCGCGCGGCACGGGTCAGACAGGCCGTCAAAGAGCGTGCTTCCGGGACGCTTCTGCCGTCCGCTGGCGCGATGCCGTGCCGCACGGGCGTCATGGTCTGCTTCATGATTCACCTCTTCGTCTTCGTTCCCTCGTCACGCCTGGCGGACAAACTTGTTCCAACCACCGTTTGAGGCCTGAAGAGGGTGGGGGCAACGAAGTGAGCAGCGCCGGCGGCAGGACGGGGCGGGCTGTGGGTGGCCACGCGCGCACCCGGGGCGACTTTGTGCTCGCCTTGGTGGCACCCGCCTTGGCCGCCGCCACCTTGCCTGCCGGCGCCGGCGCCGCCGGCTTGGCCGCCGCCGGCTTGGCCGCCGCCGGCTTGGCCGCCGCCGGCTGCGCTGGCGCCGCCGCGGGCGCGAGGCCCGGCCGCACCCACGTGCGGGAGGCGCCGCCTGACAGTCGCCAACAGACCGCCCCTCAACGCGCGGCGACGGCGCGTGTGGGAGACGGGAGGCTCGCGGCGCCTCCGCCCCGGCCCGCGGCATCCGCCGCCCAGCCCTTGCCCCTCCCCTCGGCGGCCCGGCCCTTGCCCTTGCTCTCGGCGACCCACCCCTTGCCCCTCCCCTCGGACGCCCAACCCTTGGCGTCCGCGCCGCCAACTCCTCGCCCGCTCCGGGGAAGCGGCCTGGTTGTTCTTTATTTCAAGAAAAAGCTGGTTTTAGTTTAGGGGGGGATAAACTCCAAACTTGGCTAGTCTTGCGTAATTTATATTGAAAAGTTGCCCTGAACCTATA